GCATGTTGTTCGTCTGAGCTGATAAATGCTGCACCTGCTCGTTACATACCCGCCCCAAGCTTAATCATGCACTGTTTCACACACTTTCATGTCTTACAGGGTATTCGAAAGAGCAAGAGAAGAAGCAGAAAAAAAACGCCGAGCATATTTCACTTTTCGCTGTTTAATAAGGCATGCGAAAACATTTCTGCTCGACATTTTCCCATTTTGACGGCAGCTCCCATTCAACAACCGGCAGCTGGTGGGGGCCAGAGCTTTATCATCATTTGTATCCATTATGAGGCGCTGGTCTTGGTTTTGGTTTAGGTGTTCGCTGTTGGCTTTTGGCCATCAGGCACATCATCCGCATCATCATCTGGCCAAATATGTCTGGTGCTGTCGCTCGGGCTGCTCGCTTCTTCATTTGTCAAAGTTACGCGCGCTTAGCCCCAACAATAAAGCAACAACTCTTAAGGCTTGCAGCGCTTTTCCAAATGTTTTAGACGCTCACATGCCACAATTGCAGCCGGGCGGTGCGGGGTTGTGTTCGGGTTGCGGCTGCCAACTTGCGGCATGCCTGGCGAAGGCCAACACTTAACTACAATGGGGCACTGCAGCAGCAGCAGCAGTAGGAGCGGCGGGGCCGGGGGCTCTTCCACGACAAGGAGTAGCTGCTAATGCGTCGCCAAACAGCCAAAGAGACGTCAAAACATGCAGCTGAGACAACGGGCACAGTTGCTCCACTTGGCTGTCGGGCAAGTCAAGTCAAGTCGCGCAGACTTTCAAACGCCGCACAGTGGTACAAAAAATCAAGCATGACCACAAGCTGGTTGACAGATGTACCTTGATTGATTGACTCGATTCTCAGGTTATCCAAAAAAACTGAATAGAATAAAATCTTACCCATTTCGCTTTAATCCTAGAAGGTTTCAAGTATGCAATCAATGATTTAATTAGACTCAAATCTTAACTTCATCTTTATAAATATATTTTGGTTGAAGGTTCATTTGAATATATGTGCTCCAGCACAAGATACAATATCTTCTTCTTCTTAAAGACTCTTCTTCTTTCACAATATACAATACCTTTTTCCTAGAGAGTTTCTCCTGGAACGTACAATGTCTTCACTCTTTTATTGCGTCTCTTCATATAAAAGATACGATATCATCGTAGGTATAGATTTAGATAGTCTTTTCTTTTTCTACAAAATAAAATATCTTCTTAGAGAGTCTGTTCTTCTATTAGATACAGTAATTTCTTCTTCTTAGTAAGTTTCTTCATTTTATAAAATTAATCTCTTGTATGTTTTTCTTATTTGAAAGACTTATATTTATATCTATATGAAAGCACTTTCATTCATTCGAATATCTTCTACGCCCCTGGGAGCATGTTCTTACAATACGGTTTCTTTTTTTTAACTTTCTAGATATTCATCCTCTTCTTGTCCCTTTCATAATGTAACTTTTTTCTTGTCGTTGAGCTTTGAATCTCAACAAAAGTCGTTTTTTTTTCTGGATAACTTTAGTTCGAAGGTGATTCATATTTTTCATATTCTTCATCATTTGGCAATTCTTAAGAAAGAAGGAATTGTTTGGAAAATAAACTCTGATAATGACACCTTTTGCATTTATAATATGTTAAGTCCAATTAAATTGCATTTGTACCACGGTAATTGCATACAGCAACTGACTGTAAAAACCCGTCAAATGCCGCGAATACCAAAAAATAAATCGACGCGAATCGATGCGTGATACTCAGGAGGTGGCTTTTGATTTAGATCCAATAGCTTTGGACATATTGGTGACGGCGGCGGCAAAAAAAAAAAAATCAAATAAAAAGAAAAAGGAAAAAATAAAAACAATTCGCGGAAACAGCGCCAGAGAGCGCGAGAGACGACAGAGTCTCTCCGAGAGTGCAGCGGAGTGGACGCGCCTGGCGGTCTGGGAGGCGAAAACGATCAATGGAGCTGCCAGTTGGAGGCCGAAGCTGGAGCTGCAGCTGGAGGCTGGAGGCTGAAGGCTTTGGCTTTCAATCCGAGTTGTTGTCGGGGAATTGGTTTTTCAAGTTTTCCAGCTTGGACGCGTTGGCATTCCGGGCATGGCGCTAATTAACTACTGCCGGTGTTTAGCGGCTGCTAAGTTGAACCAATTGCTGATAATAAACATTTTTATTGATTTGTGATGATTGCCGACGTGGTCAAGAGCCAACAATTGTCACCATCCGAGTGCGTTGCACAGGTGCACAGGTCTCTCTCTCTCTCTCTCTCTCTCTCTCTCTCTCTCTCTCTGGCTTCATTCACTCCCATTCTCGCTCGCGCTCCCTTTTTACGCTGGCAATTTATTAAATGCAATTTATTTGCAATTGCTTCTTAGAAGCAGGAGGTGCTCCTGTGCCTGCCTGGATTAGCCAGTGCATTGCATTCTAGGAAGCAGCCGCAACAGCAGTCGCGACAGAAGCAGCAGCAGCAGCTTTTCTTATCTTTTTGTCAGGCATAATTGCCACCGGTCTTACAGATAGGCATCACCCAGCGCCAATTTGTTGAGTCGCCTCGAAAAAAAAAACAAACAAAAAATGTATATACGACAAGAAATCCCAAAACGCGTTACCCTCGCGCGCACCTTTTTTATGGTCGTTACGTGTCGCGGTCGCCGAAAACCACCAGAAATAAACAGCCAGGAATGTTAACAAACTCTTGGGTGACTAGCTAGATACCCTGTTCACTGAATTTGCAAAACTTTAACTAGTTTGCATAAAAAGCATGTTAGACACGTTAGTAGCAAACTTAACTATATATATACTTTTAGCAAAAACTGGTAAATGTAAAGTGTGCCATAGAGCCTGACCATTTTAAAAGAAATATATTCCCTATAAGTGCCTGCATTCCAATTTTTGTAACTCTCGCTTTTATAGTCCCCGAGTTCTTTGGTATCAATTATATGTCCATGCTTACGGGTTTCTTCAGCTTGTTACAATAATATGCACTCTATTTTGGGACAATACACTTGCAGTTGCTAGCTTGCAGAGCGTTGAGAACTATAAATTTGCTCGACTAGTAGATATCCAGTATTTCCCAATGCTGATAAGCATGTTTATACCAATATTCATAGCTCTAGCTCTCATAATCTCTGAGTACGATAGGACTAGACGGACCCCATTGTTCCCAGAGACTATACGAGCTGAAGATATGAAAATTGGTACATAGATGTCCAGAAGTTAGTTTTTTCCACTATTCCATAGATCTCAAGGACTAACCTATAAAAGGATACATTTTCTTCATACATTTTTGTGTACGTTTATTTCTGCATGTTATCTAAATTTCCTAAAATGCATCATATGTCATGCCCAGTCGTCTTTTGTTTACAGGGTATCAAAAAGCCACACAAAATATTCGCCATAAAATTGTTGAAGCGCCTGACGCAGACGCATGTCGTCAGCTTCCATAAAAAAATCTTATCAGATTTACAGGCGAAACTTCTAAGTAAACCCATAAAAGAAATTACGCGAGGTTTTTGTTATATATATATATATACATATATATATATGTTTTTTTTTATTTTTGGTTTCAACTTGTATTTTATTTTATGTACTCTAGATATTTTGAAGTGTCTGGTTTCCTTTTCTTTTGTTTATTTTTTTTATATGCTACACATTAAAAATGCTTGGTGCTTATGTAAGACATAGATCATAATTTTAGTTACCATACGTTGATTATGCGAAATCATAAAATGTACATATATAAATCTGGGTATACACTATATAAATATTGAAGGGAACGCATTGCGCCTTTAGCTATAACATAAACTGAACATTGTGAGCTATTGTAATATACAAACTAGTTATCATATCATATAGAAGTAGAAAATGCATTGTATTTATCTTTGAAAACTATCACACATAAAACATTTTATATTCCTTCTTTTTTTGTTTTTGTTTTTTGTTAAGAAAACTACACTAGGCGTATGTGTTTTTTTTTTTTAAATATTATAATATTTATGATATTACTTAGCTAGGCATAGTTTTTATTTTTATGTGTTAAACATGGTTCTATTTAAATATATATATATATATATATATATTTATATATATATATATATATATATATATATATATATATATATATATATATATATATATTATTTTAATATTAAGCTGTTTCTTTAAAACATACAAAACTGGGGCATTAATATATAATTATATTAAAGTGGCAAGACTTTATTTATTTAACATGAACCTAGGTTTTAGACAATCTAGACTTTAAATAATAAAAAGTAGTTTAATATAATAAATAAATATATATTAACTCAACTAAAATTATGTATTTTTTTTATAAGAGAAAATAACTTTAAACTTAAATTAAAAGAAAAGGATCATCGAAAATGGAAAAAAACTTATCTAGGGAACTTGAAGAACAACTTTCTCTAAAACTTCCCTACAATATTTTTGTACATTAAAAAATGAAGGAAAGGATCATATTGTTAATAGACAATAAACTTTCTAGGGAATTTTTGTTGAAAAAAAGTTGTTATTTTTTTATTTTAAATAATTTCTTTATTTTTAATAACTTCTCTAGATACATTATTTTCGATTATCAAAATTAGCCTATCATTCTTCGTTTAATATAAAAAAATTTGTAAGAGATTTTTGAGAGGAAATCTTTTTTAAATTAAAATATTTAAGGGATTTTCAGGGAGGCATAATACAAAGTTCCAGTGAATGTCAATACGAATTTGAATGCTGAATAATTACTTATTTAGTCAAATTCAACTTCAAAATTGGAAAGAAAGTATTTGAGCATTCTGTGTTGAAATGGGGAAACAGTCTTTTATATAAGCTATAAAAGGGATACTTTTTTTTGAAGCGGGAATGCCACTAATATTGAACTTTTTCTATATAATGCTTCTACATATATTCTTAACCTCAAGGACGCTAGAGATTTAAGATGCTGTTAAATAGTTTTACGTCTTTTCTTGTGTCTTGTGTCAAAGATAGATTAATTAGGTGCTTAATACTTGGAGTCCGGCTCAGGCGCTGCTGCTGGAGCGCTCGGTGCTGAGCAGCTCGCCGGAGCGCAGCGTCTCTTGCGGAACTTGTTCCACTTCGATATATTCCTCCTCCTCCTGATGGGGCTGCTCAGCATTGGGCGAGTTGGCCGTTTCCGACTCGTACAGCTCCTGCTTGACATGACTGGGACTGGGCGCCTGGGGTGAGCTGGTCGTGGAGCTGTGCGTCTCCTGTTTGGGCTGTGCTCCACGCGCAGCTCCTGCTGTTGGTGGTGGCGGTCGCAGCTCGTGAGCGCGCTGATGATGCTCGAGTTCGGCGCGAAAGTAAAATTTCTCCGGACACAGATTGCAGTCATAGGGTCGCGCGCCATGCTCGGCTATGTGGGTCAAGAGGCCAGCGGGCGCCGTGAAGACCGCGGAGCAGATGTAGCAATTGAAGCCGCGCTGCTCGGTGCCTGCAAAGGTGTGCTCGACGAGATGCTCCTGCAGTTTCTGGGCGTGCGGCAGTATCATTTTGCACAGATTACAGCGATTCTCCAGATAGGCTGTGCTTGCCGTGGCAGGGGGAGCAGCAGGGGGCGGAGGAGGAGCCGCCGCCGTTGACTCCTTGCGCTTGCCATTGAGATTATGCTTGCGACAGCATTTCTCGCACAGCTTGGCCGTCTCACCCGCTGCACCCGGCAATGGTTCCAGGCACAGAGCACAGACCGGCTCTTGCAGACTGCCGCTGCCCGGCGATTTGGTGTGGAATTTGGCATGCAAGCTGAGCTCGAATTCCGAGTGCAATGTCTGCCGGCAACAGATGCAGGCCATGGGCAGGTGCCCGTCATTGCCATGCTCACCGAGATGTGCCCGAAAGGCGGCCACATGCTCCAGCTGCTGGCCACAGTGGGCGCACTTTCCGGACTGGCCCACCTTGCTGTGCTGCAGCTTGTGCTCGGCGAGTATGGCGGGCGAGGGAAATATCTCGTCGCAGATGAGACACTTGTGTTTGCCGCTCGAATTGTGACAGCTCTTCATGTGCTGCTCCAGCTCGGCGCGCGACTTGTAATTGCCGGAGCAATAGGCGCATCTCAGGCTGACGCCCGTCTTGAGATTATGCGCCAGCTTGCGATGCGAATGCAGCTCCGCTTCGCTGCGCAAATCCTGCCGCTCGCACATGCCGCAGCTGTAGCTGCTACTCCCGCCTGCGCTGGACGCTGTGGCTGTTGCTTGGCTGCTGGCAGCCGGCAGCTCGGGTGCACTGGCTGCCGGCGATGTGGCCTTGGCCGCATACATTTCCATCAGATAGCGCTGGCTCAGGCCGTACATTAGAGCCGGATGCGGCGTTTGCTGTGGCTTCAGCGCGCTGGTGTCCACCTGCAGTGGACTATAGAATTTGCTGTTCGCCTGCGCTGGGCTGGGCGTGCCGCCGAACAGGCCCTTGAAGGCCACATTGTAGTCGATGTGCAGGTTGCTGTTGTTGTTGTTGTTGTTGTTGGTCGCCACGGCGGCGGCAGCGGCAGCAGCTGCCAGGGGCGGCAGCAGCGCATTTACATAGAGGCTGCCCATATTGGAGCCGGGCTCCTTATCCTTGACGCCTCCGCCATGCTGGCTCTGCATGTGGCGATCGAGCAGAAATTCCACATGGAATGTTTCCGGGCAGCTGGGACAGCGGAATTGTCGCGCATGCGCAGCCAAATGGAAATGCATTTCCAGCTCCGAGGCGCAAACGGCGCGACAGAACATGCACTGCAGCGGATTGGCGGGCGCGGAGACGGCAGCCGCAGCAGCGGCAGCGGCCGCGGCAGCACCATTTGCCGATCCACGATCCAGCTGATGGCGCGTCTTGACATGCACATGGAAGTCCGTGTCGCTGCGAAATAGCTCCAGGCAGGCGCTGCAGCGCAACAACTTCGACTCCTGGCTGTGCGCGCAGGCGAGATGCAGTTGCATGGACATCCGATTCTCGCACAGCTCCGAGCAGAGGGCGCACTTGAGCATCGTGAGCACGTGCTCGCTGAGCAAATGCTGCTGCAGCTCCTCGGCCTTGGCATAGGATTTTCCGCAGCTGGCGCTGCAGTTGAACTCGGAGCTGCTGATCAAGAAATGGGCAACCACGTGCCGTTCGTATTCGCTCTGCTCGGGCAAGCTCAGGCCGCAGTGTGGACAGATCAGCTGCATGCCCTCGGCTATGTGCGTCTTCAGATGATTCCGGAAACTCTCGAAGTCCGGCAAGCCGGCATTGCATTGATTACAAAAGAAGACGCCCGGCGGCGTCAACGGGCGACGCTTATTGCTGCTTAGATCTGTGGGCAGCTCCTGTTCCGGCTTTTCGACAGCTTGCGGCTGTGGACTGGCCAGGTCCTGCTTGATCTTGGGCAGCTCCAGCGCCAGCCTGGGACTAAATGTGCCCGCCGTGGCCAGGCGATTGAAGTGCTCGTAATAGGAGTTTGGACTGCTCAGCCTATCCAAGTGTGTGGCCCGCATGTGCTGAAACAGCGCAGCGATATTCGCAAATTTCATCGTGCAGTATTCGCAGCTCAACTGGAAGCCATTCGCCTGCACAGCCTCTCCAGCCTCCCCGCCTGCCGTGGCGGTCGAGCTGCGCGTCTCTCGCTGCTCGTGTGCGCTCTGCAGATGCGCATTCAGCTGCTCCAGGCTGCTGAATTCCGTCACCTTCGGGCAGTAGCTGCAGCGCAGCAGCGGTGTCGGCGTGGGCGTGGTCGGGACATGCGCCCGAGAGCGTTTGGGAAAGTCCAAGCGACTGGGACTGCTGTCGGAGGCGAGGGCCAGCGCATAGCGACGCTTGTGCAGGCTGCCATTGCTCGAAATGGAAGCGGACCCCGTCGATCTGGGGCTATAGTTGAGGGCATTGGGATTGCCGCCAGCTGCCAGGATGGCGGCATTCTTCTTGTGCTTCTGCATGTGCGAGGTCAAAGCGGCGGCCGTGTTGTAGCCACGATTGCACATGCTGCATTGGAAGGGCTTCTGGATGTCGTGCGTTTTCATGTGAATCTTCAAATGATCGCTGCAGAAAGGGAATGATAGAAATAGAGAGAGAGAGAGAGAGAGAGGGAGAAAAGATTTTAGATTTGGGCATTGGTAAGCTTAAGAAGTTGGTTCTTTATGTTGGTTCTGCTTGATTCCTAGGTCTTGCTTGATTCCTCGTCCTATTTCATCTACTGCTCAATTTGTGAATAAATTCGTTTTCAGTATATCCTTTTTCAATCAAGCCATTTTTGAGTCTTATCTTATTTCGTTAACCTCCATTCCCTGATGATCTTTATCATCTTCTCTGAGGTAGAGTGTTCCTGACCATCAGCTACCTCTTTTTACTTATTACTTATCTAATTTAGTAGTATCTCAATAGTTAAAGTATATATATATATATATATATATATTGCTTTTTTCTCAAACTCCCCGAGTCTTTACCAAGGAAGACTTTTCTTGTATCAGCAATTTTTATTTTCTTATCAACTCGAGCCTTAACACTTACCTTCTCGAGAAAGCAGCCTCGCAATGCGGACACTTGTAGTTCCTCTCGTTGGTATGGAGCTTCTTATGACGATCTCGGGAACGTTTGTGCTTGAAGAGCTTGGCGCAATATTCGCACTTGAAAGGCAAATGCTCGGCATGACTCTAGAAAGAGAGAGGGAGAGAGAAGAGAGGGAGATTAGTGAGAGCGACTTTATTATGCGCAGAGTTCAACAAGTGTTTCGGCTGCAATCTGAGCTTTGATATCTGGTGCCGAGGTTCGCCGAGTCTGAGCCAGAGCCTGAGGCTGAGCCAGAGGCTGACTAACCTATTTGAAATTCTTAGAAGCTGTCGTGTCGTCAAGTTCTTGACTTGGCGATTCCTGTCTTGAATTTATTGCTGCAGTTGACTAAATCTCAATTTTTTTTTCAGTTCTTTTTCTTTGTTTTGTCTGAAACTGATTCTGAATCTGCATAGCAGGCGCAGGGGAGCGAGGGAGTTGGGTGGTAAACGTAGGTGTTTCGCTTGCGTCTCTTCATCTAAATGCGCAACGCAAACGCCACAATTTGCTGGGGCGTGGGACAAGAGGGGGGGATTACTCCACACACACACCCGCAACCGGTTTGCTTTTTGGGTTCTTTGGCGGTCGGCCCGGGCCGAGCTGCGGTGGATTCGCTTTGAAGTGTGGCAAAAAAAAAAAAACGCAAAAATTAGCCCATTTGTATGCAGCCCCCCAGCTCGAGCTGGCTTATTGCACAATATGAGCCAAGTTAACCAAGTTAGCCAAGTTAGCACCGTTCGCCTCGCTCAAATTCTCGTGTCGGTTATGGTTTTTTAAACTGTCGCGCCAATCATCAACATCATCAACCTCATCACCATATACCCATATTTCCATATATATGCCCCCCTCCCCCTCCTCACTGCTTCTGCTAGGAACGTGCGAGAATGGCCCGAAAAGCCGAGTAACCCGCCTAGGATCAAAGGCAGCGCCTGTATGTTAGAATCCGGCGCGTCGCGATAAACGATCTGCAGTTGTCCTAAACACAGTTGCAATTGGGCTAACAAGTTGCTGATGTCATGGGCGTTGTTACCCCGCCAACAACAACAACAACAGCAACAGCAACAACAACAACTCGAATCACAGCAGGATGAGGCATGTCTTCAAGTGGGTGAACCCATCGAGTATTACGTGTATTTTTTTCGGACTTTGTTTGAAATGCTACCGAAACTTTTACTTTGAAGCCAGTTTGCCGGCCGCCAAGAATTTTGTTCTGATATCTAAAAAGGCCTTTTGATATGCATCTCATATGTAGAAATATTTTTGGAGTAGCTTTTAGGCTAATAAAAATTCTTGCACGAGTGCGATTAATTGTCTGACAGTATGAAATCGGAGCATATATATCACAGATCTGAAAGGTATTCAACATTTATAAGTTGTTGCAAAAAATCTATGAATATCAAAATTCACTCTGGAATAAATCCTAAAACATTACGTTAGTTATTTTTGTCAAGCAGGTGCGGCTATTCCCATACATAAATTAAACAAAATTTAAATAATTGTGTACGAAACATATCTGGACGAGAAACCATTTGCTTTTAGGCACAGCTTTGAGTTCTTTCCTATCGATTACTTTCTAACTTTATGCTGTTTCATATTCCTAGAGGAAACTCTCATTCATAGATTATTTGTTATATCTTTAAGATATATGATATATATGCTTTGATACACTATACTAAGTACACTTTTGTCAATCAGAAGTGGGGCTGGAGTTTTATAGAAGAACTTTAATAGTCTGCCCCTAAGACTAGGATTTAAACCGATCCAAAATTGTTCAAACTTTAAATGGTTCTTGCTAGAGTTCTTCCGTGTAAGAAGATGTCTTTGCATTTGTCAGTATTTTCTTTCGAATCCCAATTAATTTTCTGCTACAATTTATGTTCTTCTAATATTATTATTATTGCATTTATTATTCTAATATAATTCCCAACCGTTTTGCTGTTATTTTCACTTTTCTATTTTCACCTCCTGTAATCCAGTTAAATTTTGAGCTTGAACAATCGATGGCAATTTAGAAATTGTCTTTTACTGCCTGACATTTGATAATTTAATGTGGCCTCCCAAGATTGACACCAAACATTGTTGTGTCCCAATTTCTGCGACCACACCACCCAAAGCACCCACCCAGTGAACCAGAGCAGCAGCAACCACCCAACCACCTAGCCATGCCAAGACGTAAGCGTCTTAGACAACGTCGAGCGAGTAATTAACCCCTTTCGCGGAGCCTTGTCACCCTGTTGAGCTTTGTGGAGTTGCGAGGGGTTAAGGGCCATGTCATTTGAGCGTGGCTCGGAACTCACCTGCACGTGATGCTTCAAGTAGCCGAGACGCGGAAATGATTTATCACAGAACTGACACTGATAGGAGCCGTCGCCTCGACTTTTAATGCCCTCGCCTGTCAACTTATCAAACTTGGCGGCTGTTCCGTGTCCTGGTCCTGTGCCACCAGCTGCCAGTTTGGCATCCTTATTGATTTTACGCAGCTTGTTCGCAATTTTCAGCGCCTGCTGATGATGATAATGATGATGATGATGATGATGCAAATGTGCAGGTCGCTTGGGTCTGGCTGCCTCCTGTTCCTGCTGCTCCAGCTCCGATTGTGCGGCAACAGCTTCGCCATTCGCCTTAGACTCCTCGCCGCTGGGGGCTTCCAATGTGTGTGCCGCGGCAGCTGTCGCCAATTGTGGCTGATGCTGCTGCGAATTGGGCGTCAATGTGCCGTCCGAGATGCTCGGCGAGTAGCTGGAGGAGGTGTGCGTGCTGTACATGTCTGTAATGGGAGAGTGAAACAGGGGGCAACATCAGTATTTGTAATTAAGCTCATCTCGTGTGGGCAGCGACTGCATCCTTATTAGCTTGGCGGCATCTCTGTGACTAAGACAGCAGGAAATCAACGCTGTCTATCAGAATTGGTCGCCACACTTAATTCAATTAACATGCAACGTTTGGTGTTGCCTCCCACCCCAGGCACATGTGATACAACGCCCCCCCTCCCTCTGTAAATGAGCCGCACGTTTGTTTCATGCAAACTAATTGCGCTTTTGTACTTAAGAGCATTTTAATTACAAGATCTGCCACTTGACGCCTCGCACACATTAGCATCGGGCAATGAGGGTCACTCCAATAATACACTGAGCACAATAATTGAGCTTGTTTGTTTGTTTCGAGTGCTTGAAGTACCATAAAAATGTTTTGCTTGAGAGAGCCGATGCTAATTATGTTGATAGCTGTGATCTTTCATAATGGAGAGCTATATTACACACTTTGCTTAGGCCCAAATTATAATATTGTTTATTAAGCAGCCAATGCCAGAAAACGTATCTTGAAACTACTTTCTTCTATCACTTTTTTCTGCTTAAAAATTCTTTGCATTTGATTATTGCAAATTACCCAAATTATCCAAGTCCATACCATTTTAATGAATTACAGTTTTTCTTTATCCCAAGAGCCTTTCTAGAGACACTTCTATAATTGTTCATATATTTTGCTTTTTTTTTGGAGACTTTTCTATAGTCCATATGTCAGTTGTTTAGCCAGGATAACGGCCAGATACTTTGCCTCTTGAACCTTATTCATGACTTCGTCGTTAAGCCTCAGTTGTGGCAGCATACCCCTGGTAAAAGGTCACAGCTAGTTTTCTTTTCATTTTAGTTTTCTTTCTTGTTTTCTTCGCCCAAATCGTCAAGCTATTTCTCTCAGTGCACACAACTACTTCGATATGGTCGCTCATCTATCACCACGCGCCAAGTGTCGTCGGGTTTTTGGTTCACTTTCCGTTTTGTGAAAAACTTTAATTGAAGCTAATTGTGCCTGATCCGTCTGTATATATCTATATCTATCTGCATCTTTTAACTAGCCATCTCTATGTATCTTTTTGTTTTGGCTGCCGTCGCTTGAACTCTGATCTGAAGTGTCGCTCCTCAAACTGCATTTTCAACTTGTTTTTCCCTTAATTGGGCAAACATGAAAATAATGCATCAGATTAATTATCATGTATGCGATATACGAGCATAGGCGTAAATTGAGAATTGTCTTCAGTTAGAAGAGTTTACTTGGGTCAAAGAAAGTTAAAAGAGATTTCAAAATCTTCAGATTTGATTGGGTTAAATGAACAAAGATGTCAGAAAGGGGTTGAACAGATTACGTCTAGGGAAAATACTCGAAAATCGAGATCAGACAAGTTTTTTTTTGAGCCAATTGAAGAGATTTTGAAATAAATAAATACAGCTGTAAATATTTTATATTTAGATGAAGTCTAAGGATAAATGTTATTCGATTATATAGATGTTATGGATATATAGACTGGGATCGGTTACATTATTTGCCTACAATTTACAGACTACAGATTGTAGCTATAAAGAAATTCTCAAAAAATTGAGTTCAAACAAGATTTTTGGCTCATTTGAAAACTATTCAAATCTTATTTTGAGTGCAGCTGAAAATCTTTGATATAAGATGAAGTTTAAGGATATTCCATTAGGATAATTGCGCACAATTTTATATTATAGTACAAATATACATATATTTAAAGATCGAAAACCATTAACTTATTATTAATATTATTTTTATATATTTTAATATATAATTATTATTGCCTCAATAACATATGTTTAATTGTTATTTATTGTGAACTTTCAATTAAACGTATTCTCATGGAGCTCTTCTTTAGTTAAAGTAAAGAGTGAAGATAACCAATTTATTTTGATTGTACTTGTCTAATGCCTTTTTGATTTCTTTCTTAAAGGTCTTAATTATGATTTCTTATAACACTTATTTGTGTCTTTCACCTTTCAGATACCATTACCTAAAAAAAGTGCACTGCATTCCATTTCAATATTAATATATTTTTTTAAGAAAAAATTCTCCCTGGTGAGTGACATTCAAATTCTATTAAGTTAAGATAACGTTAATGGCGCTTGCATTTTCATTTCGTGGATCTCAGGGATCTGTGCTTACCATCGGAAGGTGTGCTAAACAATTTTATAAGACTTCTGAAAACGTTTTATTAGTAACTACTTCTCAAGATTTAAAAAAAATGTGTTGTTCAAAACTCACAAGCTATTAGAAACTGACCTATATTTAAAAATATGGCAAATATTATTTTCTTAGTTAAAGCAATTGTTTATTCTTTCTAGATCTTGTTTTAAATTAAATTCTTTTTTTTTTTAATTCATTATTTATATTTATTATGCTAGAATAGTGTGTTTGAACTGTTTATGTAAATTTATCAATAATTTTGTGACCTATTACTAAAAAAGTTCCCTAATCGAAGCCCTCAAACCTAGGCTACTTTTATATATACAAACATATATATATGTGTATATATATGGCTTTTTATACATCAACAATTCTTGCAGTAATAATTCAATTAAAATCTCGCACTAATTACCGTTATTTGTAATCTCCTTGGTGGCTTGAATCTTTTCAATTAAATTCTCCAAACGCGAACTGGGACCGCGATACAACATCTTTAAAGCCATCATGGCATTGTCAGCAATCAATCGATCAATCAATCAATTCGAATTGATTTAATAGCATTAACAAAACAATTTGCACTAAACATTTGTCACTAAACTTTAAAGCTGCTTCTCAGCAATTTTAAGCAGCATTTGAGCAATTCCTTAATTATTATACTTTTTTTTTTTAATTTAAATTTTCAATTAACACGCGACACCAAACGACGCCAAAGGATCGCAATTGTTGTGGTTGTTGTTGTTGCGCGTTGTTGTGGGCTCGACAATGAGGACGTCCAAATGCCGCGAGCACCAAAATGTGACTAAATCAGAGCCAAGAGCCAAGCGCCGTAGGAAACCCGAAGCAGAAGTCGCTGTCGCTTGCGTCGCAGTCGTCGCCGCACGGCCAAAGCAACGGGCGTCAACGCCTATAAAAGCAACAACAACAACAACAACAACAACAACAACAACAGCGACAACAAATAATCGAGCGCTTGGCGAACCAGTTGCCCAGCGCATGCGTGTCTGTATGTGTGTGTGCCTGCATGTGTTGGTGCGTGGCCTGCCTTTTGGGATTCTCGCACCAAGCGCGCGGCGTCGGCGTCGCTGCTGCGCTGCCAGCAAATGAGAAGCAACAAAGCAAAGCATTAAATGGCGCCCCATACACAAACACATACACACACACACACACACACACACACGCGCGCAAACGGAAGCCGAAACGCAGCCATGCGTGAGCAAGCTAGCGAGCCCAAGTAAAAACTGAGAGAGAGCAAGAGCGTAAATGTTGTATGTGCATGTGTTTGCGTGTGTGTGTGCTGCCTATGTACAGCCAGTTAAAAGGCGGAGCATGGGAGCCCCTGTGGTGCCGCTCACATTGGGCGTTCGTTTAGCTTGTGGGAGCGGGCTGGACTGGGGTGGGGGCATGCACACACTTTGTTAATTTGTGCGCTGTGTCGGGGCGGGGGCTGTACATTTTACATATATATTTTATTTATGTGCAAAGTGAAAAAAGAAGAAGGTAAGAAATATGCAAATTAGCCAAAATGTCAGGTGTTGATGTGAAGCTTTTGGAAAGTTTTGCTTTTTACTGTAGTTGTTTTTTTTTTTTTCATTTGATTTCTATTTGCGTTTGGGTTGGTCTTTGTGCATGCTCTGGGCAGGTAAAAAGTTTGACAAAAAAAGGTTTTTTATTTAGTTGAAAGCGTGCTTTGTTTTAAGAGGATTTGCTGAATGTGTTTAAGTTGAACTACTAAATAACTTATAAGTTGAGGCCCGTTGATGACTTCTTGAGCTTACCTTTAAGACCTAAGCCCAAACCTTTTTCAGCTGTAATTTGTCAGAAATAAGCTAAATAAGATTTCCCATTAGTTATTCAAAGAAAAATAACAAATTAATAATGAAACAAAAGCAAAGCAATGCTTGAAAAGTACCGAAGATTGAATACTCTTGCAAACAAATCGAAGATGTGCTGTCTATAGCTTTCCTAGGACAGGGTTCACCTGCGACACATGATATATTTGCTGCTTTGTTATTACGTTTTTGCTCATATACTCCAAGAGCTTTGCTTAAACGCATTCTTTTAATTAACTTTTAAAATACAATACAAAAAATCCTTGTTCTGGGTAGGGTATACGCATTCGATCTGGCACACTCCAAGAAAATGTCGAATGCATGCCAAGTTTCAAGCCCTGATTAAGCTAGTTTGCAAATTAATTGGCAGACAGACGGGCTTCTCTTCTTCAAGCACATACATATATCAGAGATTTTGTGGTAAAGGCAAAAACAATTCAGAAAATATGCGTAGTTAAAGACTATTTAAATTGAATATATGTTCTATATACTTTGCTGTGATTTCACATAATTTCAGATTAGCACACAGAAAAGAAATTTACATTTATTTTTAGCTTCGTGAGTGACACAATACATTAGCCAAGTGCTGCTGTAATATTCCCCCCTCGTGTAGCCTTTCAATTCTGTTCATTTGTAAGTACATTTATTTCTACATAGAATAAACACATCGCAAATGCTGTCAATAAATCTGCGACTGCGGCAAACAAAAATTGAATAAAATTGACACAAAATGATTAAAAACGCACAAAAATAACGTTCAAATGGCTGAAAAGGCCAACAAGGCAGCGAACACGTTTAAGCCATTAGCGCTAAAAGAAGGCAAATGTCGCCCGTCAATATGGCAAATTGTGGCCAACAAAGGACAGCAACAAGGACAAAAGCTGCTGCAAAAAAGTCGGCAGAGCCTGTGCCACCACAGGCTGCAGTCATGCAGCAGTCTGCATGCCACTAAAAGCCAAATTAATTATGCATGCAGCATCAGCAGCAGCAGCAGCAACAACAACAATAAAGCCCCAAAAGTGCAGCGGCATCGAAGCTGTTGTTGTTGTTGCATTTTTTTCTGGTTGTCAGCAGCACTCAACAGCAGACCCACACACACCCCCTTAGGCAGCCGCCCACCTTCCCTCCTGCCGCTCACTTAAACAAAAACTATTAAAGCAATTAAAAAATCACTTTACACATTAGCAGCTTTTGTTGTTGTTGTATACAGTTTTTTATATGCTCACTAGCTGCGCTTCGCATTTGCGATTGGTCGCCTGCCAGCCAATGGCATTCGTTCGACGCGCTGCCAACGCATGCGTCGCTGCCGAGAGCGAGATAGCTAGCAATATACGCGCGCTGCTCGCTCGCCTATTTACTCTGCCGCCGTTGGGCAACTCTCTGGCTGTTGCTCTTTTTTTCTCCGTTGGTTTCTGTTCGCCGTATTTATTGACAGCGTTGTCGATTTCGGGATTTGTTTTTATTTTAATTGTAGCGAAAGCTGCGCTAATTGCGGTTATGTGTTGAGCTGTTGTTGTTGTTGTTTTTGATGTTATGTTTGCGTTTGCGCGAGTTTGTCGTTTGAGTCTTTGGTTTGAGGTTAGGAGCTGTCTAGCTTGGAATTGCTTGTGAAATATTGTGCTGTCGCCTCACTGTGCTATGATATTAATCTAGCTCAGAGCGAAACAAAATTTAATAGCTCTATTTATGCAGTTAATATATAAGTTAGGCACTATTAAGTAGATTTTGGAAGTATTTATTTAGGGACTTTAATTTATCGAAATCAAAAATGAAAACAAATTTTGATTCAATATGTATTTCTCCGATATATTTCGATTGTGCCCCGCAACTTCCTTTGACATAGAGCTTTTAAATAAGTTTATGTTCGAAACAAATTAACTGAAATTTGGAATTTTTTTAAATTCAGATATACACTAATGTACAGATTGAGTTTTAAAATTGACTACACAATTTTTATAATGTTTAGCTATGACATATAAGATTGTAAACATAAAAAGGAAGGATAATACAATACATATAAATAATATAAAATAAATAATAATAGATTGCATTAAATGGAATAAGTATCTAGGAAAATTAAATCAAGGATTCATATCTTCCAGATTTCCCAGATTTGCTTAGCATTAATTCCATTCAAATATTTCTACTCTACATCGCAAAATTTGTAATATACCACTTGACAAGTAAGCTTTGGTTAAAAAAAAAAAAAAAAAAAAACAAATAATGAGTCCTTTTACCTTTTCTCAATCAAACATCAATTAAATATGCCTAAAAACCGAACTCTTCCACGAACTTTTCAATATTTCAAACCACGAAAAATTCATTAAATAATGATGTACAGTCTATCAATCCGCTAGAAACCAATTAAGCTTAATTTGGCGCCTTTAATTTTTAATGTTTCATGCCCCAAAACAAAACTTGTGAAAAATGTCAAAACAACGGGCAGAAATATCTTTCCAGTTCCCTCCCTTGTCAAGTCCAAAGTTTGCCCACACGCTTTACTTTAATTGTAACAAGAAAATTTCAGAAATTTGTTAAGTTAATTGCTCGAGCAATTGAAAATCTTGTACCTAAGCGTTTTTTAGTGTACTGAACAATTTCAGCGCCTGTTGAAAATATCAACTTGCAGCTTAAAAATGCAAAAGTTTTGCCGTTGAGTTGGGATTTTTGGCTCTTTGGTTGCTTTTGTCTCTATGTTAATTACGTTTGACTGACAGTTTTGTGACAGGCGCTGGTAGAGGCCACGACCACGACCACGACAACGACAACGATGGGCACGAGCCCAAGGTTTTGTCGAGGCGGTGGGCTTGGTCTTTGGTGTGTGTATTTTTTTCGATGGGGGAGGGGGAGGGGGATTGTGGGTTTGGCTCGGTGGGTGAAAGGGTGACCAGGTAAATGCGCCCCGGCTGTGATGAGTCTTAGTTTGTGGCCCTTATTGAATACCCTGTCACCCAGTACAGCCGGGTATGCTGGGTGGTCTCTTTGATTGTTTAAAGTCTTATGTAAGCCGTTATATATTCTAGCTTTTATGATTGGGTAGTTATATTAGACTATATAACATGTGGCAGCGCACTCTTTTATCTAAATTATACTCTTTTCTTTTTTTAAATTAGCTGCACATCTTTAGGGGCTCATTATTCATGATTCCTCTTACAAACCTCTGGCTTGCAATTACGGGGTATCTGCCTGCTCGCCTACTCTCCGGCTCTTATGGGCACATTCTAACTCTTGATTTCTGTGCATTTTTAATGCGCGGCTAATGTGACGCCAAAAACTTTGACTTTGACTGAGATTTGTTGGTCAGCGAACGCACGAGCCGGGGAGTGGTGGGAAAGGGGTGGAGTGGGGGTGCATGTTTAACCCCCTGCCAGGCAACTCTTGTTGCTGGCTCATGTGTCAGTTTTGGCTGCTGACAGGCAAAAGGGTTTTTGGGCTGACCCGTCGCTGCTGGCCTGGCGCCCTCATGCATAATAGATAAATTATAAAAATAAGCACAACACATGCGATGAGTGTGCGTTAGGTGTGTGTGTGTGTGTGTGTGTGTGTGTGTGTGTGTGTGTGTGTGTGTGTGTGTGTGTGTGTGTGTGTGTGTGTGTGTGTGTGTGTGTGTGTGTGTGTGTGTGTGTGTGGGTGGGCGGTTCGTTCAGTTGAGTGGAGGGGGAGAGGGGGTGCACATC